AAATTAAGTTGTCTCGGTTATTTATGTTTAATTACTGGCTTCTGGCTTCAGAGTTTTTCTGCAAGTATCCGTAATTAATTACCGTCTGAAGTGTGATGAACTTTAAGCGGACTTTGATAGCGAATGGTGGTTTTAACGCCACGGATCGATTTGAATTTAAGCAGACGAGGATTAGATTTGGTATTTTTAAACTCAATGGGTCATTCATCAATTGGCTAAAGTGATCGCAGATAGTCGTGAGAAAATCGTAAATATTTAGATACTTCTGCCGCTGAAAGAAAACTCATGCATGTCTAATAGACCCATCTGCATCTGGCTGAACTTCCCTCGAACTTCCTTCGCCAGCCAGTCGGTGAAAAATTACACCCAATATGTTAGAGTCGTACATCAAGTATTTAGCAACTTTCTAACCATCTGCATAATAAATTGAATACATCAGAAACTATAAATAATTGCCAACAACTGCAGGTTCCGACCGGCAGCGAGTCGCTCACCAAAATGAAGAAATTTTGCCAGAATTTCGGGATTTGTGCGTGTGGCTAACACGAAGATGAAGGCGAAGGCTAATGGCCCCCAAACGACCGCAACGACAGGCATTTACAAGTTGGCCAACTGTGCGCGACAAGTGCAGAAAAGTGGCAATAAATACATCGAGGTGCTTTTTCTATACCCTTCGTTAATTATCCGCATACTTGGATTGAAGTGCCTGCTAATATGTATTTAGGCTCAGTTTTTTTCCGCCAATAGAAAGCATATTTATTAGACCGCAAAAACCTAATTACCCTTTAAGGACACATATGTTATAAGTACCTCAGTAGTAAATAATAATTTATATAGGCGAAAGATCATTTAGTTAAAGTCAAACATTCCACAGTTAACCTGATGATTAAATATTTTTTAAAAATTATTTAAATCCGGTGATACAACTCTTCCTTTAATCTAAAAAAGGCAGAGGAATTACTTGGTATTTGAGATTTTAAATTCTATAAAAAACTTCATTTACAAATGAAATTCCCTTTCACCTGCAGATGTAGTGCATTCAGCGAGTTTACCAGACCGCCTCCATCCTTCTGCCAGATGAGCAGCACAACAGTGTGCCACAAGCCAGGAGATGACCGCGACAACAGCAACATTGGTGAGCACAAGAGCAATATCAAGGCGACAGCAACAGCAAAAGCAACAACAACAGGAACCAGGCAATCGGCCAAACTGTCAGACATTGTGCGTTGTGTGCCAAAAGAGCAACCGCAACAGCAAGAGCAACTTGAACAGCAACACCAAATGCAACAGCAATTGCAACAGCAACACAACAGAAACAGCAACAGACAGCCAAGAGACAACGGACAAGCAACAGGCGCAAGTCAAGTGAATGGCCAATGACCACCAAATTGGCAGTAAAGCATACAAAAATAACTTCAAATGGTCAAAAGGTTAACAAAATCAAGCAGAGAACAAGAGGAGACAGCCAGCCATCCAGTAAGGATGCAAGGAGAAGCGGCTGCTGCAGCTGCACGCTCAACATGTTGCCAGCATTCCGTCAGAGGCAGCAACTGTTGCCAGTTGCCAGTTGCCTGTTGCCGGTTGCCGGTTGGCTGTTGCCGGTGTGCCTGTTGCAGCAACGAAGCGACGGGCAACATAATCCCCCAACCAATGCGCAACGAAAAAATGATTAATGAGTTGCCTCATTACCTGGCGAAAATCAATGTCTTGCGCATATTCTGTGGGCCAAGAACCCGAAGCGAGGCCCAAACCTGTCACAGCCACTTGGCCATGTTGCAGTTGCTGCTGCTGATGTTGCTGTTGTTGCTATTGCTGCTGCTGCCGTCGCTGGTTGTCGCATAATAAATCGATCATAATTCTCAACCGAGACTCAAATATCGCATGTGTCGACGCTGATTTCGATGCCGCTGTTGATTCTGATCTGGGACCAACGACAATCAGCTCCTGTCGCACACGACGACAAGCAACAGCAGCAACAACAGCAACAACAGCAACACAACAGCAACATGTGAGTGATCCGAGACGATATTTGCCGCACTTGGGCTTTGACTTTGCCCCTTTTCGATGCCTCTGTTTTTTTTTTTTTTTTTTGCTTTGCTTTTAATTGCAGTCGCGCGCCTGTCTTGGCAACCCATCTGGCTGAAACCGCTGGCTGATTTTATTTATTAAACTGTTGACATTCTGCTTTGCTGCCGCTGGCGCCTTTGATAGCCATCACTCGATATCTGGCCAATATCGAGCGAGAGGAGTGGCGCCTGCAACGGTGCCGATTTATGGCCACTTGCATTATTGATTAACTTCGCAGCCTGGGTTGTGACTTATTGGGAAGATTCTCTCGCGTAAATGCCCGATATTACAGGGGATTATGGCCTGATAAATAAATAAACGATCTCCGACCGGAGATTGAGTCACATTTTATCTTCCGTTCGATAAAGTGAAAGTGTGAACTCGTAAATGGGAAACTATTTAAACAATGATTACACGAATGCACTCGCACTCGCTCGGATATGGATTATTACAATCATTACACAATATTATTTATTTAAAGACCAAGAGTGAAGCGGCAATTGAACAACAAATGTGTGCGAGGCCAATAAACCGATGCGATTGAACTCTTTATCGCTGCCTTATCTACTCCATTGCAACTATGTAAATATGGTAAATCTATAAAACCGAACGGCAGTGCCAAATTGAACTTGATACCTTGAGATGGAATGGGGGAAATTCTACGATTTATGGCCGCTTTATCGGATTCCCAAGAGTGACTGGTTAAGGTTTACCTTTCCCACATAGAGCGCATATTTCCCGGTATCTCTGACGATTTTCAGACTATTTGATCTTGGGGGGATTGTAATAAACGAAGCCCGAAATATTAAAGTCAACAGCACGGCGTTGCTTGTGGTTGCCATAGCTGTTGCTGTTGCAAGTTGCTATTGCTGTTGTTGCTGTTGCTATTATTTTTGTTGCTGTTGTCGGCAGCAACAGCAGCAGTACAAACAAGTTGAATGGCATCCAGAGAGATGAGCAGAAAGAGAGGAGAGGGGCGGGGAAAAGGGCTTGGGTAATGCCAACAGCAGTTTGATTGTTATTGCCAATGAATGAATGCACTTGCTCTGAGGATTTGTCTGCCAGACGACCAACTTATGAGTTTCCATCTACAACTCCGTTCAAAGAGCTGCGGCTCCTGCTCCAGCTTCGTTGCCCCAAGGGTTGTGGCAACACAATTTTGCGGTCTGCAGTTGCAGCTTCTGCTGATTCTGACTCTGCTGCTGCTGCTTCTACTGCTGCCATTGTTTCCACTGCTCCACCGCACCACTGCACCACCGAAACACTGCCCCACCACCACCGACGGCTTGAAGGTTGTGCTGCTCCTGCGTAAGTCGCCTGCAGGGGGTGTTTATGCCGTTTGTTCCTCGCCGTTTCGCCACTGTGTGTTGGCAATGAATTGGCTGCAAACAACATTTCCGTTTTGGCCATTATGTGGCGCCCACTCCACAAATGGGCGAGTGCAATAATAACCGGAGGAGATAGCTCCCCGCCATTCCACCGCTGACATTTTCACACTTCCGAGTGGTGTGAATGGGTGGCCAGATGGTGGCTGGCAAAAGGATTGCCCTTGCATTATCCTTGTTCGTTTCCCTTATGCTTTTATTGTTGATGATTTATTGATGTCTCTTTGTTGTTGGCGCGGTGGAGTTTTTCATCAACTCTTTTTGGGGGAGTTGGGAGTTTAATCAAGGGGGCTAAGAATTATCGCTTAAAGGTGTCAGGGGTAACGAATTAAGAGACAAATAAATAAAGAGCCATGCGACATAAAACTGTTTGAAAAAAGCATTTGCCCACTGAAATATTATTCCCATACTTCATTGTATGAATTATAAAATTTTCTAAGCACACTTTAGTTCAAAAATTTAAAAAAAGAAATTGTAGAAATTTATTAAATTTATTAAATTACAACTAATACTTTGCATCGATGAGTTAATATGTTATGAATTTTAACATATTCGCAAAAGAGAAGCACCAAAGTCTTACCTTCTTTTCTCTCACTGTGTATAGAACGTAATTAATAATTGAATTATTTTAATGTTATGGTATGTAAATTGAAGCGATAATGCATATCTGTTTTTCAGAATTTCAACACCTTCGCCAGACAAAAGCAGCGAGCATACGCTTCGCATGCTGCAACTGCTGCAGCAATTGTCCATTGTTTCGGGTATCCTGGCAACCGGCAATACATAACTACATAAATTAACGGACTTCGATACCCGATTCCAGGAGGAGGAATAGGGGGGAGGAATCGGGGAAGGGATGGAGGGATGGCGCAGTGTCGACAGCAGGAATCGCCACCAGTTCTCCAATTGATTTTCGAAACCACTTTGTTGGTGGGCCCAAAACTCAGGAACGGAACTCGGCAGCAGTTACCGGACCAACGGACATCGGACATCGAACATTTGAAACAATGGGCAGCAGCATAACAAGGGGTATTGTGTGCACATATTGAATGAATTGCCTTTGGCTTTTATTTCAGCCATTTTTTCTGGGGCTGCAGGCTTTGGACTCGCTTTGTCCTGGCCGAGAAAACAGTTCGATTGCGGGGAGAAAATGAAATCAAAGCAGTATCAATTGAAACCTGTTTCGATGTCGTTGTTAACACATGTTAACCAAGCGTCGCCAAATTGCCACGAAAAATACATAAAGCCAGCTAAAGACAACAGACAAAGTGTTCAGATAAATTTTGTTATTTTTCTATCAAAAACTTTTTGTAAGATTAACATAAATTGTGATTTTCTTGGAATAATTTTTTTTAATTTGCAAAATATTCTATTTCTTTTTACTGTTCATTTGTTTACTTATTAGTTAAATAAATATATATCAGGTGATATTATTATTTGCTGTGTTGTAAAACAAATTGTCGGTGTCGTAAATTCAACCTAGTAATTGGTGTAACATTTAAATTATCGAAATCGACTTTTAGTAGGCTCCGAATTTTCTGGCACTTTGAGTCAAGCTCTTGGCCAGTCATATTAAACATATATTTCGCATAACCGAGCAATATTCAAACTAAAAAATATCCCTAAAATTTCGGTTGACATAGTGGACGAACATGTCCAATCTGCAAGAGATATCGCTTGCCGGACCTGAATGTCTTCCAGTGACAGAAACCAATGTGACTCCACCCCCAAAGTCCAATTCCTTGAAGCGCTTCTTCAAGATCAGCAAGAAGCCCCTTGTTCGTGACCAAGTTGACAACGATAGCGTATCCTCCTCCGAGGATAACAAGGAGCTGGGAAAATCCAGAACGATCAGTCGTTTTTTCACCCGCTTGAAGAAAACCAACAAAGGTAACAAATTTACAAAAACATACACTTAGCAAAAAAAAAACTTTTTAGAAAAATAATGTTAAGTATTATATAATATTATAAGTGCTTTGTTAACAAACCCCCAAAAAATTAATAACATTTTAAGTTCTTCTTTAAGCGTTAAAACAAAAGTAACATCTGGTTTATTAAGTATTCTAAATTTGATTAAGTTCTTTATTGTTAACTATTTTTTCCATGCCGGAAAATATCATATTTTTAATATAAGCTGTTTTATTGATATAAATAAATTCTTTAAGTGTCAGTTGATCAAGAACAATCGAGCTCCATTGCCGAACCTGAGGTCCGGGAGAAGCCACCTCCCAATCCGAAACTGAGGGTAAAGTCATCTATTTCATCTTACTGGAAGTTGCTCTTCCAACGCCAAAAGGCCCAGCGGCAGATTGCGGAATTCGGTCTCGAAAACAGTCCGGAAAATATGGTCGAGGAGGTCCACGAGCTGCAGCCGGTAAACCATGAGTCCGAGACCGAAATTCGGCCGACTGAGAATGTGGAAGAAACCGAGATAGACGTCAAGGCGGATTCAGAACCACCGCAGCCGATGGCCAAGAGAAATGTAGCCAACAAGGCTTCCGCCCAGGAGATGCTCAGTGCACTGGAAGGCGGCCAGTTGCCCACCGTCGAAGATGAGGAGGAGGAAACAATTCAGCCTGTGCCCACTTTTGTCAACGAATTTATCTAGGACATATCTGAAAATCACCTAGTATCTCTCCGAAACTCTCCATGAAACCGCTCATAAGTTAATATTTATACGGGGATATTTCCTATATTACACCATTACCACCTCTGTAAACATTTTAAGGATTCAAGATATTCAACCGGCCAATGAAGTACCAACAACATTTCCAATTTCGTTTCACTCATTATAATAAAACACACCTAATAAACACATTTGCTCAAAATACGTTTTAAATCCTCAATATTCCGATGAGCTATCATTCTGGTTAGTAAGCCCATACGTTTTTGGCCGACAGTGGGGTCACAGAGTTCAGTTAAATCGGTTGTTAAAATGTCTGCACTGTAGGTTTCGATTTCCCGAACGAGTTTTGTGTTTTGGGTTGCAAACGTTGGGGTTAAAAGGTGCCGCATAAGCCAGACAAAATACTCGACAACCCCCAGATTTTTTCAAGGTTTTTACTTTCGAAGAAACCTTAAAGTGAGACACCCCCAAATGGTGGCTAACTAAAATCCGTAATGAGTATTTAATTGTAGGAAGGTGTGGTTAAAAGAGGGTGCCAAAAGATTTATTTCGTTCTTATATTACATTGAAGAATAATGTTGTAATTTTTGACCGAAATTAATTGAAAAGGTTTGGGGTAGCTTAGAAGAATTGTAATGTTAGAGTATGCATACATTTATTTACTTGAAGGACTCTGAAATCTCTACACGAAACCGTGGAAAATCTCCAACAGATACCAGTTGCATATCGGGGATAAACAGCTGTGGCATATTTACAAACATTGAGCACAATCTGCGCAAACTCCAGACCCGGCTAGAAATAGTAAATATTTACATCGGCTAGACCAAAACAAACACTTGTTGGGAGTCCGCCGGTAAGTGCTGAAAATGTGAGATAAACACGCGATATGCGCATGTCCTACTTCTCAACAGCTGTTTTTCCGGGCTGCTGCTGAGGGTGGGTGGCAAAAGTGGGTCAAGCACCCACCCCCCAACATTATTTTTCAGAAATTCCTATACATTTATAATATTTATTTCATTAAATACAAAGGTATTTAATAATTGCAAATTTGTATAATACATTAAACTCAAAACCGCTTTGAAAATGTTTTATTTTATTCCATTTAAAGGAATATTGGATCCTGGGGGGTCACAACACGTCCAACAGATAGCCGAACTCTTGCACAGATACACACCATAAACTCAGTTTAGTTATAGAGATTTTTCTTCGTGGACGTGGCTTGCTGTAAAACCCGTAAAAAATTGCAAATCTATTGAAAAAACTAACCAATTTCGAGGTAAGCTTATTGCAAATATTATCCTTAGTTACTTAAGCATATGTGGTTTATGAAAATTCGGAGGTATCTATGAAGGTTTGTCTGCTTTGGAGTATTTTCCAAATGGTAGCATCTTTAAGGGTGCTGCATTACGTAATTCTGGGTGTGGACATTAAAATGTTTTTAGAAAGTATTAATTTAACTAAATTGCAGAATGCGAAGTCCCTCGGCAGCAGTTTCGGCAATGCGAAGGATTTGTCTGATATAATGACTGGCAGCTTTAAGGTGCAACTCATCAACATGGGCACTCGCGCTGCCGCCTGTAAGTTGTCCCCAGAAGTCTCAACTTTCCCGAGTGCTCAGTTCGTGTTTGTTTTTTTTGTTGTGCTTACAGTTCAGGCAAAACTGAGAGCCCTTCATGAATACCACGTTCGTCTATTGCACAACGTCTTACCTGCGCCCTCTGGCGTCGATATTGCTAACAATATCAAGTACTTTTCTCAAACTCTACTAAGTGAGTATACATTTTTCAACAATACATATTAATAATATGACGTTGGGTTCTTTATTTCCTTAGAAAATAAATCAGTTATGATTTGTTTTAAAACGGTGATATTAAAAAGTTGTTTATGATTTGAAACCAACATTTTATTTTCTTCTTATGTTATATAATGACTGAAAATGTTTTATACTGTTCCAAATACATAAGCAATGATCCTGAATAATTAAAAAATTTAATTTACAGCTGTCCTTAAAGATGTGCGTACCTCGCCGCACGAACTTATCCGCGATCCTCTCGAAGATCCCACTCGCATGTCTGCCTATCCTAATCTCGAATATGGCAACCTCTACAATGCTCTTACTATGCTCATCGATGTGGCACCTTGCATCCAGTATGGACAAATCGGTACGAATACTAAATACTATCCAATTTGTATTATATTATATATCAATGTGTTTTTATGCATTACAGTTTTCGGAAAAGCTCTTTTGCAGTGCCTAAGCTGCATCCTACCTTTCCTCGACAAGGATCTTATTGATAATCTACCCTATCTAGTCAGCTCTACTATATCTGTTCTACCGCCAGCGTTGCACCAGGACATTGTCAATGCACTATGCTACTATATCTTACCTTTTACTATAAGTGAGTAGATATTACTTTATCAGGACTTAGGCACTAATCATTATATTTCGATATCAGCCCGTCGCAGCGCCGATGAGCAGGAATGCCAGGCCTGCCAGTCAGTGTCCTCGGTCATTATGATGGTGTTGCAGTACTCCAACAATCCTGCGCACCACTGCCAGCTGCTGGAGTGCCTGATGACCCTCAAACACAACGTGGTCAAGGACATCCTTTGCGTGGTGGCCTACGGCACCGCTGTCTCCCGCACTTCGGCTGCGAAGCTGCTCTTCTACTATTGGCCAGCCTTCAACGCCAATCTATTCGATCGCAAAGTCTTGCTCTCTAAGCTAACCAGTAAGTTGAAGTCTGATCACCATCACCTTTCAAATATTATTTTATTACGTAATTAATTTCTGCCTTATTAGTTTGACATTACTATGATTCGAAAAGTTTAACGAGTAACAAAATAGTATTGGAGTATAACCTTTTCTTACCTGTTTTTAGATTTATGTTAAAATTTAATTGATTGATGTATCCAAATTTAGTTCTCATGAAAAGCAATTAACAACATTTAATTTTTTTAATGCAATATAGATGACCTGGTACCCTTCACCTGCCAGCGGGAACATTGCCCGAACTCCGGGAACGCGGAGGCGGCCAAAGTGTGCTACGATCACAGTGTTAGTATCGCCTACGCCCCCGATTGCCCTCCGCCCCTCTACTTGTGCATCGAGTGCGCCAACGAGATCCATCGGGAGCATGGGAGCCTGGAGTTCGGCGACATCCTGCATCCCATGCAACAGGTGTCGATGGTGTGCGAGAACAAGAACTGCCGCTCCAACGAGAAGTCCGCATTCTCCATCTGCTTCTCCACGGAGTGTGCCAGCTTCAATGGCAACCACCCGATTCGCTACTGCAGCCAGTGCCACAGCAACAGGCACAATTCCCGACGAGGCGGCGACCATGTGGTCCACCGCAGTCTGCAGCCCGCCTGGCAAATGGATCCCGAGATGCAGATGCACATGGTCGAGTCGGTGGTTAGCTTGCTGCGAGAAGCCAAGCCTCTCAACTTTGAACCCGGCAAGGAATCCTCGTCTTCGGATTCCAAGAAGAATGGCTCCCCACTTACGGCAGACAACATTTCGCTGGAGGAGCGCCAGCGATTGGGTCGCTATGGCATTTGGTTGCTGGTGGGTCGATGCACACCCACTGCGGACACTCCCGTCGAAGTGCTGGGCAGGATTCTCAGCATGCTCTTCCACTGGTTCCACGTCACCGCCTATTCATATGATGGTATTTAAAAACATGTATTACTTACTTTACTTTAATTACTTACTATTTCTCGATCACTTCCGATCTAAAAACAGTACCCATATTTTTACTCAGGGTCAACAAAGTCTAGCTGTCAAGATCTTAAAAAAGTATTAAAAAAAATTACTAATTTATCGTGTCCAGCCATGGCTTTAAAATAAGTTTTTAATATACACATCTCTTTGGTGTATGAAATACTTTTTAAACGAGGGCTTAGTAAGATTAAAGCCGCGGATCTCGCCACTAATTTTCCACTAATTTAATTATCAAGCAATAACAATGCTTTCCCTTCAGCTGCCGGTCAAGTGGAGAGCACCATCGAAAAGCTAAAAGTTGATCATGTGTGCGATTGGCTGAAGGACATCTGCCGCATCCACTACAATGTCTTCATCTCCTGCCTACTGCCTCATCCTCCGGAGTATGCTCGCGTTGGGGGACACTGGGAGACATTGGCATCTCGAACCAGTCATTTGAAAGAGGGACTTCAGCGACTGATCTGCCTGGTTCCCTACGAAGTGATCACCTCCGAGATTTGGGACTATGTGATGCCCCACTGGATGGAGGCCATCACAAACGATGTGGCCGAAAAGGAACTCAACGAGCTGAAGATCGTGCTCAGCAAGATCCTCGATCCGGAAATGTCGCCATTGGGTTTTGATGCCAAGACCATGTACAACTTTGTGGCCATTCGATTTGAGAAGACGACGGCCAAAGTGCAGCAGCAAGCTCTCCACTGGCTGCAGATCTTGACTAAGTTGGAGATCCTCATTCCACTGGTGCAGTTATTTGCCATGTTTGGCGATGGTGTTCGCATCATGAAGTACGGCATTCAGCACGAGTTGATGCGCGAGAAGGATGCTCAATCTCAATCCCTGGCCAAAGCCCCGAAGACTCCTTGTAAAGAGAGCAAGGAAACCAAGGCGGACATGGCCAATCCACCCAGACGCAGCTCCATTTGTGAGTGCATCTTAATTAGGTTTTTAAGTACCTAAAATGTAATATATATTTTATATAGCTCCTGTTGTTGAGGACGATTCAGGCAACACATCTGCCATCTCAGATGACGAGGCTCCCACCAATCGTCACACGGAATTCTCCACGGATGCTGAACACAACCTCACCTGTTGCATCTTGATGTTGGACATCCTGCTGAAGCAAATGGAACTACAGGATGTGGAGCAGCACATGGGCATCCACACGAGCGTTTGCGAGAATGTATCCAGGTTGATCAAGTGCATGGTCACCGCAGCTCGAGTGGGTCTCAGCAGTCACGTTTGCGCCTTGAAGGTAAACTAGTCGTATACTTAATGTTTTATGAATTTATAAAAATTATTCAATCCATTATAAGGTCGCGGAATGTGCTTATTGCGAGGCTTCAATCATGTGGCATCAACTCGCCACAAAGCTAGTGCAATTCATGGCTCCTTTGAATCCAGTCAGACCACCAGATGTAGGTCACCCACTTTTTTTAAGGCTTAACCTTTCTATGAGTTTCCTTGCAGGTTCCCATCGAGGATATCATTGAAGAGGAGAAGTCCTCTCGCAAATCTCCACCCGAATCCGACAAGGAAAAGACCCGCGATGTTTCCCTTTCGATGGCTCCATTGCCAATTCCACTGGGACCTCTTGGAGGATTTGCAGGTACGCCGCCGACTTTCCATTCACTTTATGTTTATTTCAAGCCCCCTAAAAGAATCCCGGTTGTATCATAAACCGTCTATAAAGACCCGCCCCAAGTTTCTTTCCCAAAAACCACCCAAAAAACCCACCCACTTATAAATAAACTAACCACCGTAACAGTAAAGCAGTGAAACGTCACCAAAAAGTAGCTAATTGTAGACAGTACTTGAGCCTGGACAATAAAATATATTACATTTTGCGGGCGAATGGTATGGAATGGCGACTCGCCCGTCGAGCGTCCCTATAAACAACCTACTTTAGCCTAAAAACCCACGTTAAAGCGCAAACCGAACTTTGTTACAACCTACAACTAGAAACCTGCACTGCTATGCCTTGTAAACTACCTACTACTTGACCAACCAAAAACTAAACAAAATCCCAGACTAAATCAAACAATCTCAGAAGTATGAACTAACTACCATCTAAACGATCATTCGTGAAAAGCATACCGTCATCCCGATCACCTGTACTTTATCTTTTTCAACCATAACTATTTGTCTATCTTGCTATCTCTCTCTACATATAAATATGTATATCTGTTTCTCTCTCTCTATCTCTAACAAATTCTACTGCGCGTCTGCCTGTACAAAAATAACATAACTAACGCTGTCTCTCTCTCTCTCGCTCGATCGCACCCTATTCCGCGCGTACGAAACTGTCTGTCTCTCTCACACACTCGAAAACTTCTCGTCTATGCCCAAAATAATCTACAAACTAATATCGACTACTACTCATGAAATACTGCAAAACTAATACCAAACTCAATTTGAAATCTATCAATCATTATCAGATATCTTTAAGCTAGATCAATTCTTTTCAGACGATGGAAAAATTATTATAATGGCAGGTGATGCACCACAAGCAAATTTTTCATTCGTTACCAAAAACAAAACCAAAAATCAAAAATACAAATTACAAATTTACATTACATTTTGAAGCATTTGTTGAAACATTTCGTTACTCAACTCAAACAAACCAAAACTACAAAATCTTTTATTAACCACACGACACGAACAACAGAAAAAGACCACAATAGTTTCGCTCGATCACTCCAACAATCTTTATATCCACAACTACACTCCACTCCACACACAACTCTCTATCTCTGTTTAGCGTTACTAGAGTATATGATTTAGCATATCCAAGCTTTTATATCTATTTGACCTCTGTAGATTGACCGCCCCTAGTGAGTTCAATTCCGTTTTGCTACAGATCGATTTTCTTTCGGTTCGGTTATACAATCCTTTCCCAAATACACAGAACTTCGAGTTATAGTCTAACACTACAAGCACAGCTACCACACACGATTTTTTTAACGATCTATGATTTCTCGGTAGGCAGTTTATTCCCTCCGTTGGATTTCAAAGTCTTAAAACCGCAGAATCCAAAATTAAGTACGCGTATGTAGTACCCGATTGGCAGTTTTGTGAAACCACTAGTTAAAAAACCTGCATGAGATACTTTCAGTGAAATTCCTATTTTCAACCTATCCTATAGTGTCATATATAGGATTTCTGTATGTATGCATGATTGATTTGTGAATGCCAATCAGTTGTATGTTGACCACTAAGCCAACTTCATTTTTAGCTGGACTCGTCTTCCCAGCTTCTCCAGATCCGATACTAATCCTATTGTACAATTTTCTTTGAAAAGGTCCTGTGCCAGTGGCTGTTCCCCAACCAGAACCGCACTCTGTGGGCGGAGTGCTCGTCCATATGCCCCACGTCTGTTCCGTATGTATTTCGATCATAAGCAATCCAACCCGTACACATTATGTTCTTTAGTTGTCACCCCCTTATTGACGACCATACTCGAATTTTAAAGTTCTTCACACAAAACAAAATAATGAAAAAAAAAACAAAAGAAAAAGAAATAATAAAATAACAAAATATTATGCGTTGACTGTAGGTATATTGAAACACCCCATATATACATATATATTTTATATATATTTGCTATAAATATTCAAAATAATTAATTACAGCAACAAAGCAATACTAAGTTGAAGTGAGCATTCGAGTTATTTCATTTAATCAACACATAATCTATTCTTGGTTGACTTGTTGATTTTATTAACACAAATTCCAATTCACTGTTTTATGTTTAAAAATTGAAAATCGATATTTGTCCAACGATTATACAAACGTTTTCATTTCTTCATGTATTTTTTATAGAATAACGAAAATGGGCATTCAGTTGATAGTAATGAATTGAGAAAAGTTCACGCCACAGACGAGGTACTTTGTGCATTCTTAAAAAGAAATACCAAGCAAAAGACAAACAATTCAACCAACAAAAGCTATACAACTTTGTTTTCAATTTAAGTTTTATCATTTTCCCAATTATTAAAACCCTCCTACGATTCGATAATTGTATAATTCGTTTTTCAATATCTATAGTTTTTTATGTCCAGTCAAAAAATCGTACTCTTTGTGTTAAGTGTAAATAAATGTACAGAGTGTTTTTCCTGCTATTTAAGTTAAATTTTTTATTATAAAAAATTTTTGAATTTTTTTATTTGGATTATTTTATAAATACGGAAGACTTAGAAGATTTATACAAGCACAATAGAGGTGTGTTTTTATAATTAGCCTTAGAGACATTATAAACGAAAACTAGGATCAAGCAGTGATGAAATAGTAACTTAATTTAGCAACGAATATTTATTGAGTTTTGTTTTAATCTAATTTTCCTTTCCTTTCTGCTAATAATTAAGGTTTAGGCTAACAGACATCATTCACGTTATCTGAAAAAGTGTTTTCTATTAGGGAAAATACCCAACGATACGCTTATTTAACTTAATATTTCAATAGCATCTTCATTCAAATAATAAATTATTTTGAATTAATTTTCGTTACTAGTTTTTTAATCATTTTATTCAACTGTGTCTCAAAGTATCTTGTATGTGTGTGAAAATAAATTACAAATTATCGTAAATCGAACAAAAAATCGAAAATACGAGTTTTATAAATGTACATTTTATTTAAGTCAATCTCAATTTAACATATCTTATTTAACATGTAAATATTGCGTTCAATGCTAATTTTATTCACATAACAGATAACTCTTTTAATTTATGGATCATTGTTGAAGAGCATGTTCAATGTACAGCACTGTCACAGTTAATTTCCTCACCCCAATACCAATAAGTGAACAATATAAAAAGTACTATTATTATAATCACAGAAATGCACAAACAAATGTAACGATTTTATGCAATTTTACGTGTGTTATGTAACGTTTTTGATGTAAATTACTTTGTTACCTAAACGAATCTTAAGACGGATATGTGAGTGTAAACGAAATGTCAAAGCTCCCCGAACATTGCATTTGTCTACATGTGTTGTCCAAGGAATGTAACATACCGTACACACCATGTAAACCACGTGTATATACGATGTAAAGCTGTGCGAGTCCCATGATTGTGATCTTCCCCGCTGATCAAGCCCCCTTTGTCTCATGCAGATCATGACGGCGACGGTTGAAACAGTTTCAGAACAGCTTGACCTGGCCTCCATCCTGCCCACAGACCGGGCCATAGCCCGCTCTATAACCCTTTCCGACGCGGACGTCGGCAGCGCTAACGTGAGCGTGACCAAGGCCTCGGTGATGGGTGAGAACGGCGCCAATGGCGGAGCGGCCTGTGGCGGCGGCGAGAACGGCAGCGGTTCCGAGGAGGACGAGGAGGAGGAGGACAGCGACGACTTCTGGCACACCTCCGTCGGCAAGTTTAAGTTCACCCTGGATACGCTGCCCCAGCCACTTCAGTACATCCATCAGTTGCTAACGGTAAGAGATTGTAAAAAAAAAGTGAAAAAGAAAAACTATAAAATTTGCTTTTAATACAAATTATTATAAATCTTTTGTTTACTAAAAAAAGTTAACACTAAAGAAAAATGTCTTTTTTTAGTAAATTATTTTATGGCTTTTTAAAAGGCAGATTTAGAAATCTTTGTCTATAAAATGTAATGTAAAATCTTGGTTCTTGGTAATTTTGTTTACATGGGTCTGTTTTTCTTTGATTTACGTTTTCTTGTCAACTTTTTTTAAACCTTTTAAAATAGTAAACTCTTGCTTTCGTCTTTGATGAGGCCTAAGTGTTATTATTAATTATCTTCTATCCCCTAAAGGAAATACCGACTATCAAGAAGCCGGAGATACTTTACTATGTTCTGCAGTGCTTGAACACGATGGCTCTTCATGGCGATGCTTTGGCTAAGGCGGCGAGGGAGCAACGTGGCTTCTTCATTTGGTGCCAGGAAAATCTGCTGATTAAGAAGTATGTAAAAATCATCACATTTACATTCTATTATAATCCATTAAAATACCCTTTCTTTTTCAGCCTGTGGGAGCTATGCAACGCGGAGCACTCTCACATCTGCCAAGTGGGCGTGCCCCTGCTGCTGCACTGCATCACGCTGCCACTGGGATCGGATGTGTTTTGGCGCGTGGTGCAGGAGGCTTTCCACGATACGGACTGGCGGGTCCGGTTTACGGCAGTGGAGCGAGTCACCGTGATTACCCGCTTCATGGACTCCACTCCGCTGCGCTCCGAGGTGGGTCTGCAGACGGCGCTGGCCACCGCCTTCTGTCACCTAATCGCCAGCATGGACGACATCAATGTGTACGTGGCGCAGCGGGCGACCCTTTACATTGGGACCATCCATGACACGGCAATTCGGTCGCTTCTCTTCTGCCTGGAATCTCAGTTCGATCTGTTCATCGTCGATCGTCCGGTGGTGCTGCAGTCGGTCTACCAGCTGCACAATTCCCTTTCCGATCGCAAGATGCTCGGCTGGGAGTTCTTCTTGAACCGCTTCGACACGCTCTTCGTGGAGGCACAGATCAATCTGGAGAAGTGCGGCGACATTTCGTATCTGCGCGATCTGAGGAACTCGGACAACGGCAGCGAAGCCCTCTCGGCCAAGATCCAGAAGGCCAGGGAGGCCCTTAGCCAGTCGGACACCAGTGGCAGCATGGCCAAGACGCTCAGCGCTTCCTTCGGCACCAAGTGGCCCTACAAGCGAACCATGTCCGCTCCTGCCAGCATGGCACCTAGACAGGATAGCAAATTCGGTAAGTTTATCAGGGTTTTAAAAGAAGAGTGAATTTTTACTTTTTGTATTTATTAATATTTGTTTTTATTATTATTTGTTTAAAAATAATAAATATATTATCTTGTTAAAATTTCTGTGTGCCATGTTAAAAGATTTAGTAGATAAGTATGTCAACACTGCGTATTAGGAATAAAATATAAAGATTATTGCTTATACGCACCGTTGATGCTTACTGCATATATTTTTTTTAAAGTTTCCCTTGATTCATTTGAATTATTTTCTGTATACACATTAAAATTTAAAATATATTTTTATATGATAGTACAATTTTGACATAACGTAAAAACAGATTTAGAAATATAGTATGCAGAATTAAAAGTCAACACTGCGTATAATGAATAATTCCATAAGATTAGTACTAATACGCACCGTTATTGCTAAGGGCTTTTACTTTTTTTAACATTGTCTTACGAAATTCGGATTTTAGTGATTAATTTCAATATACATATTAAAAATCTTGAATATCTTGAATAGTTAATTTGTAGAATTGCAAATAGTTAATTTGTGGAATTGCAAATAGTTAATTCATTTTGGTATTAGAAACGTTCTTATATTTTGTAACATATACTCCTAATATTTAATGTTTTTCTTCACAGTGCCCGAGAAGGAGAAGATCTACAGTAGGCAGGTGTCGGCGCCGATCCTCAAGCGGAAGACCTCGCGCTTCGGACTGGGTCAGTTCCTGGGCGGTAGTAGTGGGGGGGCTGCTGGCGTCAGCCAGTCGGGGAACCAAGCAGCAGCGGGGTCAGCGGGCTCCGCGCGGCCCAAGCCGCCGCCGTGTCCCGTCCACCAGTCGGCGCACACGGCCTTTCCCTATCACAGCTACACGCACACCTTCACCCACCACCACCCACACGGCCACCACCCGTACTCTCACGCCCATCCACACCACCATCATCCGCATCACCATGCCGGTAGTAGTGCACACGTAGCCTCCACCTCCAACTCCGCGGTGGCCACCACCTCGGCCGGTCTCGTGTCGACGCACAGCCAGAGCCACCAGTACCTGGTGCACTGTGTGCCCCCGCCCAGCCACCACAGTCCGATGCCGACGCTGCAGGAGGCGGAGACGCTGCTCCGCTCGCAGGCAGCCGCCGATGCCGCAGCGGCAAGTGGATCAGCTGGCGGATCGCTGGGTCATCCCGCCCCGGAATCAACGGGCGGATCGGGAGGCGGCTCGGGCTATCCGAGTGCGCACCACTCCTTCCACTCGCACTTCCAAAAGCATCCGTCGGCACCCAATCTGCTGCCAACGCAGCCGGCCGTCGTGCCGGCCCCAAGTCCCAGCCCCTCGACTCTGGCCTTCCCCCTGCACTGCACCTGCGATGCCGCACCCCATCTGCATCCCCAGGTCCCAGGTGCGGCGGCCACCGGCAGCGCGGCGAATCCAGGTAGGTGCTAGAGCATGTGTGTCAGTTCCGCCGTGTCAGTGCGTTCCATTCTAACCGTGCTCCCCTCCCCTCGGTGGCGTCTGATGATCGGTGTTCTAGCAAAGGGGGTACACCACTCACGAGGAAGTTTTTATTTATTTATTATTTATTTATTTTACATTTGATTATCATTTTAGAAAATCCAAAGCCAATGATATCTTTACCGATTTATTTTAAATTATGTCTTCTTATATGTACATTGCATTATAGGCTTATCAATTTTATATCAACGTTTTTTTTTTTTGTAAATAAAAAGTATGTCCCCTTTAGAATTTATATATGTGCTCACTATTAAAAAATAATACATCCTTGTGAGTGGTGGATCCAATTTTCGGTGTTGCTTTGGCTTGGTCAGTGTGTTAACACCATTCACATTATCATCCAGAACAACCAAGACCGGAGAAACTTTTGGTTGTAGATATATTTTAGGTAATTTTTTATTTTGAAATACATTTCTGAAAATTTTTTTTCATAAAAGTATGAATTTATTTAATAAACATAAAATCAAATTTAATTTTGAGTGAAATAACTTCCAAAAGTCTATTATAAAATAAAATTTATAGCTAGTTATACATTTTTATTGTATTTTATAAAATTACTTTTTTAATTTAGAATTTGAATAATTTAATTTGCATGATGATAGGAACAAAGTGTATTTAAAATCATATAAAACACTCAAGCATGTACATAAACAAAACCTGAAGCATCCCCATTTACCATATTTCCATTCATATAACTCCTTGCTCTATATAAGTGTTATATCTGTATTATCCAGCTATCTCAGCTTGTTATGTGTGTAACTCTGCTTTGCAAAAACAAATATCGTTCTAAGTGTGTTCCCCTTCGAACTGGTATGTATGCTCAACATTTCTATCGCGGATCACTCTACAAAAGAAAACTCTTTTTCTACCTCCAACTATTTCTATTTCTATCTTTTTGTACAACCCTCGACAAAATTAAATTGAATTTTAATTGGCTTTTACTCAACAGAGACATTTCTGTATATTATACAAGATTCATACAAAATTTTAAATCTTCATAAACGAAAATCAATCTAATTGTGAAATTGGCATGTGGCTGTGACCCCAAAAAAAAAAAAAACAAAAATCTAAAAGATATTGGTGTTTTTTCCCCTTCCCCCTCCAAACAGTTGTATATTTTAATGACATATCCGATTATTAAGAAAGTGTTTTCTCTGAATTCAATATAGATGGCCACATACATTCGTTGGGAGGTTTGAATGATGATAACCTCATTGGATTGCTTTCGAGGATCACGGAACTGGAGGAATCTGATCGAGAAACTATTCACTTACTGGTCTTTATGCTGATGCAGTTTATGTCCCGAACTGATCAGGCCTATCCTTCCGAGGAGAAACCCATGACGAAGACCCAGAATATTGTGCTGAAGCACCTTTTCCTGCTTTTAGGCCATAACCAAATTGACAAGACGTTCCATACAACTCCGGAATCCCTAAGGTAATCTTTAATCATACTCCTGAGTGGCTGATTTTTATTTCCTTAATTTTTCCCTAGGGTTTCTGCCGTGTTTAACGCCTTTTTGGCCAACCTTCCACAAGTTTTGGACCAGAACCACTTGATTGGCGGCCTCATTTTGCCCTCCGTTATGCAAATTATTCTGTATGCACCCAATCCGACGAGCACCTCTGGTGAATCCTACCAGAATATTGTCTTTAACTATTCTTTGTGGCACCTGGAACAGTATCCGCGTCGCAATTGGGTCTTCACCTTGCTGGTGGTGCTCTACAAGTACTCCTATACCCAACCACCACTCAGTGGATATGTCATCGCGGGAATCCGCTTGATCATGAACAGCCTGCGTGGTCATTTCCATCAGTGTCGACGCATTCCGACCACCACAATTCTGGATATTCAGGGCGTGGGTGGAGCAGCTCGATCTCGGGATGTCAGCCAACCCTCACTGGGCACTGATCCCGATGACAAGGAGGCCAGTCCTCCCGCAAGTCCAATGTTTCCCTCGGAGGGAACCAGTGCAGCTTCTAAAAGCAAGGGTCAGAATGTGGCCTTCACCCCGAAGCTGCAACATGCATTCCGAAAGTACAATGACTCCAGCTTGGATGCAGATGAAACGGAATCCGAATTGGTGGCCATTCCGGAAAGCGATCTCTCGGACAGCACTTTACATGGCAGCAGTGCACCAGTAAGTTTGATATTTTTTTTTTAAATTTTAATACCATAAAATGTAATTTTTAATACAAAGCGCTTTTAGAATATCGAAATTATTTGGTTTATGGTTTACTCTTTTATTTCCTCAAAAACCCAATATTTCATTATACATATTTTTCAGGGATCATTTGATGATACAATCCATTTCGAGGATGTAATGCCCCGCAATCGTCGAACCGTTGAATACACTGAAGAGGTAAAACCAACTATAACTTCAAGATCTTCCCAATCTTAGTAAACTAATCCTTTTAGAAATCCACGAAATCCCACAAGTCGATGATCACCACCAAGGTGGGCGATACGTACACCACCAAGATCAAGGCCACCACCACCAGCGAGACGATGGTGACCACCCACGCGAGGCACAGTCTGCAGGAGGGAGTTCGCATGATCGTCACTCCACTCGTGGGTGCGGAAACCACAGAGACGGCTATAGTTAGTCCTCCAGTGGATGTCCATCGGGCAGTGACCGTCCGCAACAAATCGCTGGAGAATGCAGCTGCCTCCACTTCGAAGATGTTCGCTGCCATAGCCACAAATCACCTGAAGGCACTGGGAGCTCTCCAGGATTTACCCACTCCGGGGGAAAGGAAAAATGGATCCAGCAGCGGAAGCGGAAGTCGATCGGCTAACGGAAATGGTAACGGCAGTGGAGGAAGTGCTCCAGCTGCCATCCAGGCTTCATCTTCTGCAGCTGCCAGCAAGCCAATCGGACGCCACAAGACGATTGTGGAGTGCAGTGCTGGAAACTCGAGCTCCTCGGCGGATGATTCGCGTCAGAAGAAATCACAAACCAAATCTCTGAAGCGCACGGATAAGAACTATGGCTCACCGGAGTCGCCGCTCTCCAAGATGAGTGTGATGCCGAATCCTCGGGATGAGGTGGATGAGGGAATTCAGAGCTTGCCACCACCCAAAAACATTGCTGCCTTGGAGATACCAACTCCTGAGCGCCTGCTGCCCATTGGAACCCAGGACACAGTGGCCACGTTGGTGGAGCGGGTCAGGGATGGTTTGAACCTGCCGGATATCAGTCATCTCAAACAGGACAGCTTGGATGTATCGGAGAGCACAAAGGATGATGTGACTCCCAGTAGCAGGACTAATTCCCCTCGTCGACTCATCAAGCAGGTGGCATTGGAATCGCCTCCGAATCCAAATGCTCAGCTTCCCACGCAGACGTCGACCGATCTGCACACCTCAATCCTGAAGAATGTCCAGCAGGACCTAAAGCAAACTGCAGGAGCCTCTGGAGGTGGTGGCCTGACCACCAGCAACAGCATCAAACGTCCTCGCCAGAAACTGGCTCCCTTCAATGTGGACAGCAATGCCATTCCGGACATCCGGTCTAGGTTTGCAGGCTCTTGGCCTCCGCCTCCTTTCCAGCCCGTGGATCCCGATCCCGACGATGACGAGGATGTTGGAGCTGAGGCCTCCAACGGGCATGGGAATCATTCCACCGCTCATGCTCCTCGTGGGGTAAGTTTAAAAAAAAAATTAATCGAAATCATTTTAAGCAATGTTCATAAAACAATCTAATGGTTTCGTTTTGTTGGTCAGAATGATTTATGTTCGAAAATTATTTTTGTGTGTTTAAACTAATAATAGGTTGATTAAAAATAATCAAAGAGATTTAATGGCGCTGTATGCAATTTAAACTTTGTTCATTTACACATTAAAGTGCCTAATTGTCGTACTTGGTGCTGAAGTTGACACTTTTATTTACGGTTAGGAGAATCTATAAAGTAAAAATTTTAATTCTTAACCTTTTTATTTACAGCAAAGTTCCCGTCGTGTGGGCAATTACACCATCGTGGAGCGATGCTCCGACTGTGGAGCCCACATTGAGGAGTACACAGATGAGGAGATCGGCATCTTTATAGTAATCCTGGGCACTTTTATCCATAGAGAACCCGCAATGGCAGCGCCTTTCCTGCCCGAGATTCTTACCATGACTTCTCGGTGAGAAAGATTATCCAAAATTACAATTTTCTGTACTAAGTAACTCTTTATTTTAGCATTTGTTTGAGCAGCACACACGCCTGGCAGGGCGAGAATGGTCCACCTTTGGCCAACAGTGCGCAGGCGGTGGCTCTTCAGTTCTTCCGCTGTGTCCTACACCAGTTGGCTCCCAATGGAATCTTCTTGCAAGTGTTCCAAACCCAAATGAAGAGTAAGTAACCTTCATAAAATAATTATAAATATTTATAAATAATTTCTTTACCTAACCCACCTTGCGTATTCAGTGAAAATCCGGCACAACCACTTCCGCAGCATTGCGAAGGCCCTGCAAGATTTCCAGGATCTGAATGCCACCAGTCCCATTTACATGGTCTGCGATTCGCTGACCTCCAAGAAGGCATTGCCAGTCGAACAGCTTCCCGTGATCTTCCGCAACATGGCCGAGTATCTGAATCTCCAGTGCGTTCCGGCGGAGGCGGGAGTGGGTTTGGCCGTCTGGTCACAGGCGATGCAGGCCATGGAGTCGCTCATGCGCCAGGTGATCGTAATCATGCCCAGTCTGACTAATGCAGAGTACATGCTAGACATCATGGCGGCCACTTTGCGTCTCAATTGCGTGCCAAAGACGCTCCTCGATCCGTACTCCAAGATCATGGCCTACTGTGTCCAGCACACGAATCTGGAATACCAAACGCTCTACGATCTGTGCACTCTGAACATTCGATCCTTCAGCAAGGATCGCGACAAGAACTTGTTATGCCGCCAGATGATCTTCGAGTTTGTCCAAGCTCTCAAGTTTAAAACTAACATTCCGGATCACAATCTGCTCACTATAATCGGATTTGTGCTTCTGGATGCTGGCGGAACTCTGCCTCCTGGAGCTGCTCCTGGTTTGCCCGATGCTGCTCCCATGATGACCACGAACTCGGCGGACTGTTTGAGGCAGTATATCAACGATGTTATTGACTTTCTGGCCGATTTCCACACGCTCAGCAAGATTAAGGTGAGAAATCTTTTGAAACTGCTTGTTAAAATCTAAAGATATATATTTTGTTTTATCAGAACTTTAAGAATGGTCAAACGAGCAATGGACTCGGCGAAGACACTTTGGGTGGAGTGCTTAAGGGAGCGGTGGCTCAATATCTGGCACTGGAGATGTCCCGCGGTAACTCAAGGGACAACAAGGCAGTTGCTCGATATTTACCTTGGTTAAACAATGCTCCATCTTCACTTCAACAGGGGTAATTAATTAGATTGACAGTACAAAGTCTTAAGACTCATTTAAATCACTAATTTTATATTCATACTCAGACCCAAGGAGTTCACCGAGTGCGTGGGCCACATGCGCCTGCTGTCCTGGTTGCTTCTCGGCTCCCTTACTCACATGGCACTGATGCAACGTCGCCAGGAGACGCACAGCATTCCAACGCCGCTGCCTCCGCAAACTGGACAAGGAACTGGTCCAACAGCCAGTGTGCATTATCAGCATCAGGGGGTAACCTACTCGCAACCAGTGCCACAGGAAGCCTCCTGCCATATCGCCGATCACATCCAGGTGATCTTTGCCGGGTTCGCAGAGCAGTCGAAGACCTCTGTGCTGCACATGTCCTCGCTGTTTCACGCATTCACCCTCTGCCAGCTGTGGACAGTCTACCTTGAGCAGATGGCCCACAACACCAACAGCAATGCGGAGGGCAGCACGTTGGGCGTGCTCTTTGAGTTCTGGGCAAAGGTGACGCCATGCATTCTGCAACTGGTGTCTCATGCTAAACCGACAGTCAATAAGGATCAGCCGCAGACCCCCTTGGACTTCCAGACGCAAAGCGCCAACTCCAAGCTCTCTGAGATGGTCAACCTGCACTTCCTTAGTCTGCTGGAGGCGCTAAAAGATACCAATTCCACAGTACTGGGCAAGCTGCTGCCCATGTGGAGTCCAGTTCTCTCCTCGCAGACGCAACTTTCGGACACGTTGCATGTTAGGTTGCAAAACGTGAGGGACTATGCACCGGACTACGAGGAGCAGCAGGCCTTCAAGTCTGAGGCTCTGCTCAAGTGGCTGCAGCGCCTGCAGTTCAAGATGGGCCAAATCGAGTTACAGGCCTCCACAGCCACGCAATTCTATTCTATCTAAATATCACACACAGTGGGTTATATATGCAGTCTTATTTAGTAATTGTTGCCTACGCGAATAAATAGTTCACAATGTTTGTTGGTAAAAGTAAGAGCAGAAATGGGATTCAATCACATGCTACTCCACCGCAGATTACTCGAAAACAGTGTAGTGAATCCCACTGGTGGCCGATCCTTTATCTTGAATTGAAGGATCGTGCACTTCGTTTGCCTCGCTGGCCTTTTGCCTGCCTTCAATAAGGAAGTTGGCTTGGGGATCACGATAATTGCGAAAGGACTCCTTTGTTTTCAAAATTGATTCCTCGGGCAGACTTAATCCGGCTGCCAGCCTGGACTCCTTGTGCCTGGCAAGCCGCTGTTCAGCCTGCTGAATGCGCACCTCCTGTGAATAAATTAGATTAAATTGCTAGTCCGGTGGGGCTATTTAGAATATGTTACCTTAACCCGTTGCATATAATCTATTTGCAGCGCAGCAGACTCCGCTAGCGGCACCAGCTGCACTTCCTTGTGCTGAATGAGTGGAGGAGTTGCTGCTGTGACCTCCCAGTGTTTGCCTTTCTTGCGCACGCGCTCCTTGTCGGGGTCATGAACGTTGGATTTGGTGGTCCGGAATGGCATAAACTTTTCTCTGGCAGGAGCATTGGCATTTGTTTCCGTTTTATCGATGAGGTAAAGAGCATGCTGATCGGGTGGCTGCTCCTTACTCAGCTTGGCGGCCACCTGACTAGCGTCTATTTCTATGATCTCTGCAGGCAGGGAGCTGGTGTCACTCTGTCCAGCCAAAGCGGAATCTGGAGAATCTGTTGGCTTCTTGAACTCCTCAATATCCGCTAAATCTTCAGCTGTAATAAGACTTGCTTGTGGGGGAATCACCTTCACCTTCTTTTCGTGCATGGTGCCCTTGGCAATAATCTTAAGGGGATCCATCTCCACCTCATCATCGCTATCCAAAATGTCGTCCACATGGGCGCCTTCGTCTGTGGCCCTGCCATTCCACTCCAGATTGTTTAGAGCGATCTTTCCCTTTGCCGCAATGTTGAGACCGCTCAGCATTCGAGTCGCCTCTTCCACTTCATCGCGACGCCTGATCTCGTCTAGCAATTTGTCGTAAGCCTCCTGCAGCCGCTTTCCCTTGTCCGGCAACTGCAGTAGTCGCTTTCTGGCGCGAAAAAGTGGGAAAAATCAGTTGGAACTCCACAGGTTGAGACCGAAACTCACTTGAATGAGAGAATGTGCGACTGCCTGTCCTTAATCTCAAGCAGTTGCACATATGTGAGAGTTTTTAGGTCCTTGCTGTGCTTCTCCTTCACTTGACTGGTGCCTGGGATTCGATTTAGCGGAGCAGCAATCAGATTTTCAGTCATTTTCGCAATTTCGCTTGTTTTGGTTTTGGTATTAGTGTGACCGTGGCATGTTTGTGTGGTATTACCATCGAACGAGGGCTACGCAAGTCCGCTGATTGTATATCGGTATCGGAAATGAGCGCGTTATTCAAATTTTTAGTTTTCTAAAGATTATTGTTCTAGGAGTTTTTTCGTAAAACTTAGATTTTATTCTTATTTTTGCCCAAGTGACTTTACTCAATAAAACTATCGCTATTACTTTTCCAAAGACAAAGCAAGTCATTACAAATAGCTCCTTGTTTCCAATGTTAGGACTCGACGCAGTTATTTAATTTCACATGCCAAACGACTCTATTATATATTCTGGACCCTACGAAGTTATTCGCCTTCGTCGTCGGCGGGATGAGCGGGTAAGGGAGTACCTTTTCAGACGGTCCATTCGCACCGCCGTTCATGAGCCCGAGTTCACCATGTGTCGCATCACCAAACTGGTGGCTTACTTCCTCGTCTTCTTCTTCTTGCTGGCGGTTTTCACGGGCGGATTGGCTGTGCTGGTGATGACCTACCGAATACCAGATGACAAGCCGGCATGTAGAAAGTTTCCTGGTCTTAGCACGGTGCCAGGAACGCATGTGGGCGATCAGAAGCAAATTGTGTGGAGTTCTGAAAACCAAAAGCAGCTGGCAGCGATTCGGCGGCAAATGTCGCGAATGCTGGAGCGGTACGGCCTTGAGGGGCCCAAGCGCGTGGTGGCCTGCAACCTGGATGACAGCTGGGGATACGCAAGCGGCCAGCCGTGCATCCTGATGAAGCTTACCCAGGTACTCGGCTTTGAGGCGATCACCTACAACGATGGCATATCTCTGCCCGATATGGTCCCGGATGAAGTGTACGACTATATAAGCGAACTGGGCATGGAGGAGCGGGTCAACCGCATCTGGCTGGCGTGTCAGGTGAAGCCGGAGGAGGGGGTGGACGTTGAAATTGAATATGTGCCAGATCGCTACTGGGACGCAGAAGACCTCTTTACCAAGGGAAATGTCTACCTAAACGACTCATCCGATAATGATGGTGGTAGCTACACCGAAAATCCTAGTGTGAGGCGACTTGTTGGAGTTAAATTCAGGAACATTCCGCCTAATAAGGACGTCTTAGTTAGGTGCCAGGTGTGGGCCAAAAACATTCCTCTTCACATGGGCACTGCCAGATTTTTACTCCACCATATAGCAGCTGTTGAGCCAACCACTCCGTTGTTACTAGATGAGTGGTACGAGTGAGATGTCTTGCTATTACGGAGTTAATTAATTTATTGTTTGGATTATCAGCTTGTTAACGAACTTATAAATGGCACATGCAATAAATGATTTTCGGTCTTGTTAATATAATCGTCTCGATCTTTTAATAAGAATTCCTAATTGTCTTATGCCTTTTGCCTTTCCTTATGAAGCCAAAATATGTTGCAAGCTGAAGATTTCTAATAAATGTTGAGAGACGGTATATAATAACCATCTGATTCATTGAAGCTTTTTAACCATCTTTAAGTTATCTGTTATTCTCCCTAGACTGCCTCCTTATTTTTTACTTTTAAATTGAAATTTGATTTTCAATAGAAGAAACTTTACTTTGCTTTTGATTTCACAGTGAATGGATATCACATATCAAGATATTTGTTTACAAATATAATCACAAAATGCCCGAGGATGTGATGGTCCCCGCGGGGGACTACAAGCTGGTCAAGCAGTTCCGCAGGGAGAACGAGAAGCGTCGCAAGAAGGACCTGCCGTGGTCGAAGCGGGTGTTTGATATAGACGAGCACAAGCTGTTCGGTCGCACAGCTTGGGCCTGGTTTCGGATCACGTTACTCTATCTGTTCCTGTACCTCCTAGTTCTCCTTATAGTGCTTTTTTGGATTGGAATCTTTTGGGTGGCGATCATAGATCCACATGAGCCGCGCTGGCTAAAGGGTCCTCCGGGATTGTCGGTGGTTCCGGCCAACAGGAGCACACTCACCTGGTACACCCACCTGATGAACGAAATCTACCCGATTGCGGATAAAATCGACGATTTCTTGAACTCGCTGAACGACAATGGAATCGACTTCTTCGGCGATGCAAACCAGGATACGATGTGGGGCTACGAATCGCGAAAGCCGACCGTTTTTATCAAGCTGAATAAGGTGATTGGCTTTCAGCCGGAGACGTATGACACTCCCGACGACCTGCCCAAGGAGGCCCCTGCGGGACTTGACGACACCGTGCGCAAGTACGGCGGCTCCCCGAAAATCTGGATGACCTGCGAGGTCACCGAGGGACCCAAGCCCGAACTAGTCTTTCTGCCGGGACCATTTTACGAAGCATCTGAGAAAATGACAGGCGTGCAGCGCGTTGTGGCCGTCCAGTTAAACAAAATGCCAAAGAACAAGGAGGTTATAATCGGTTGCAAAGTCTGGGCACGAAACATTCCCATCGATGAGAAGTTCCCTGGCAAGGGCCATGTTAGGATCTCGATGAACATGCGCGTGGAGACGGTCAAAAAGCCGAGTGCAGAGGACGTCAAGGGCTCATCAACCACCCCAAATTCTATAACAGCTCTCATAGAACCCGAAGAGCCGAATCGGGATCGCTATGTAGCTTTGGATATGCCAGCACCGCCAAGAAGGGAACCGTCCAGGAACGATAAGCCCGGGAATAAATTTAATAAAGAGCCACTGACGGAGCCCCCCAGCTAAATATTAATTTTCGATTTCAAATTTCTATGCTATTTATTTATGTTTTCAAATTCGGCGGTTTAAATCCGAACATAAATTCCACTTATGAGTGTACCAAAATTAGATCCAGTGCACATTTTCTTATATAATATAAGCTAGATAGTAACGTACTTTATCCAAATTGCATTTTCAATTTTGAAATTGCATAGACATGTAGCTTTCACATATTGACCGAAATTTGAATTTATTTGAATACGATTATTTTGCCTTCGGGTAACTTACTTAGTTTACTAGTTGGCAATTTTTGGTTGCCTTAAAGATCAAAAATAAGATATTGGAATAAACTTGCACCATTTGGCAAATGTAGTAGGAATCCTATATAAGAGTCAAGGGAGTTCCCCTTAAAATTGTAGCTAGCTGCCCATCCCTGACTTCACCTATCGATAGTCGGCACCGATAGGTGCCCTCCGCCTAGTGTGACCGTATGGTCTCGGCCAAATTTAGGCTCTAAAAGTATTTTGCATGAACATCGAATTTTATCTCCGCTTCGACACGCAGTAACTTGACAACAAAAACCCATTACTAATATATTACTGCCGTCGATTTGCAAACGCGTATAGTTCCCGAAACCAGGCAAATCGCAGCCCCCAGTTGTACGTCACCGTATAAGTAATAAATCAGCGGCAAATCGCATAATTTGGGCATTGATATTCCGCCTTGAAGTGTGCGTGTGCGAGTGTGTGTATGTGCGTATGACTCGTGTTTTAGCCGACAATTGGAGAAAAAAGGCATTAGATATAAATTTGGCAACTAAACGCCGCTAATTTGGTCAAACAAAAGCATAAACATAAACAAAGAGTGCAAGTGTTTAAACTTGGCAGCGAAACAAACGCCTCAGTGGTTCTGGCATATATATCTATATATATAAATTATAAATTAAATATAGAAAGTGCGTGCGAAGGTTAAGCGCCGAGTGCAACCGCATTTGCATTTGGAAATAATAAGTTCACCTGCAAAATCGCAATAAATCTAATTCTGTATTCCCACTCTCCCGCAGCGAATCAAGCAGGAAAATACCGGATAATTTTTCGCCAAGATGCAGATCAAAGAATTGTAAGTATGCATGTTTAAAGTTTTACTTTTAATTTATTTATTTTACGTTAAAATAACTGAAAAGCTGGGCATGCCGCAAATGATTTGTGATAAATCGATTTTTGGCTCTCTCCCCATGTCACATTCTCTCTTTTGCTCTCTTCGTCTCTCTCCTGTCGCGTGTCGATTCTCTCTGGCATTGTTTTTGTTGTATTTAAGTTTGCGGGCATTTTCCGCAACAACAACAAAATAATGTGTTTCTTATCAGCCCCCAGACGCCCCTTTCCCTCCCCTTTTCTTTCCATTTTGCTCTATCACAGGTATTTTGCAGCTGCGACTATGACGTAATAGAATTTAAGTTAGATCTGAAGCTATGAAATCAATCTTATTCCAAAGCATTACCACTGCTAATTAGTTTTTGGAATCTCCTCTGACTCATCAAAGTATGTTTAAAAAAAAAATGCTTTTCAGTTGCTCAAGCGACGCCACGTTGTCGATTTGGCCGTTTTCGTGAGTCACTCTCTTTTGCGCCTCTCTTTTTCCATAACTCTCTTTTCTCGGCATTTCGAACTACGATTTTAATCAAACAAGTTGTTAAGTGCGATAAGGTCGTTGCGTAAACCCCATAAAAATGACTCACTTGCGTCGCAAATCCTTTTCGGCGGCTATACATAAGATGATATTCTTCCCATTTGCAAATGGCTCACGTTTTCCTCCTTCTCAGTCCCCTTTTGGCACTGATACTTTTAATTTATTAACGGAAATTGCCAAAGGCTGAAATCAAATGGCCTGGCTTATAATTGCTTTGACTTTGACAGCTGACGAAAAAGCAAGAAAAATCTAAACAAACTGCACACGAGATTGCGATGGTTCTCTCAATAGGCACACAGTTTTAATCTCGTTCTTATAATTTTGCTTTCCTACATTTTAAAGTCGCTCCTACACAATCTTTCACATCAATCTGATAATTGAACTTTGATTGAATATAAAGAGAGCCTATTACTGATAATTGTTGATAAGTATATGCGGCTTGTAAAGCTTTTAATTCTCGTATAATTGGGGGAGCGTTTGTTGGTTTAGAGTTTTTCTCATGTCGAGGTTTTTTGCTTAAATATATTTTTCACCTCTCTCCTTTAATATTTTGAGCTTGCTAAACAATAACAATTAACACTATATAACAGGTTAACAAAGCATTCTCACACAACCTTAACTCTTTTTCATATATGTATGTATGTATATTGTTTAATGGCATATTAGTAGTAGTTAAAAATGTCCCATTTGATGACAGTTTTAGGCTAGACAAGTACCAAAGGCCGCTGAGCTATGCTACACACAAAAAGGCTTTTGGAGTGGCATTTTAACGGAATTTTATGAATTTAAGGACCTGTAGGCTGGCAGGCAATCTTCATGTAAGGCATTATCCTTTAATTATTCTCGATGCCTTTTGGCATTTGCATTTCGAAAAGCTTTTTTTCTGGCAGATTTTCTCGTTTTTCCGACTGCCGCCTGTTGAAGTGTAAACCATTTGGCAATGAAAATTTCAACACCATCATTAAATGAAAAACAAACGTGGAAATAAAAGCAACGCGTGCCGGACCAGGTTGCTGCAGGTTGATAAACAATTTTAAATTGCCGCGGGGCAAATTGACCAAATGAATCAAAAGCAGCAGAAAAGTAACAAAAACAAATTGTGATAGACAACACTTTGCATGTTTCATCTGATATTGTGTTTTATTGTAAACAGCAATGCTTTAAACGCTGCTCTTTATTTATTGACATGGTAATCTGAGTAGTGGGCTTAGCAAAACAAATTATCATAGATAAACTGTGTGGTTTTGACTATCTGATAGAAATCAAATCATTAGCATTGATAACATTGATGCAAATAATTTAAAGCTCAAAAGTTTACAGCTCACTTTAAAAAAATTAAATTCGTTTTTTAAATAGAGTTTTTCAAGTATTAGCCAGTTTACTTAGCTAATTTCTATATATTATAAGCTTTGATTTCCGCAAGATTTAAAAACCTCAAGTGCGAGAGTTTTCTACCTAAAACCTTCTCAAACTTTGCTCTCTAAAAGCTACAGTTCGTTTCAATGTCAGTCCTCGACGGTACTCATCAAAAACCAGCTGTAGCGTGACTTTTACTGCCCCAACTGATTGGCTCAGTTTGGTATACCACATATGTATCCGTCAGATACTGCTCTCCCCGTTCCCCTCTCGCCCTTCCCGTAATCAATTTGAAAATGGCACGAGCTCCAATTTAGTTCCACCATTTGTGTTTTTTATGTACTGCGATAAGATAACACGAAGCGTTTGGTTTTCGGTTTTGTGTCCGTGGTTTTACTTCGCAATGGCACGGTACTCATTACTTAGTTTGAGCGTGAAGTTTCAGTTGTTTCGCAAAAGGTTGGCAATTGAGTGTGACTGCTGCTAAGCGCCAGCATAAATGGTCACCGAAAAATGATTAGTATGCCGTACTCACATCTGGGTTAGCCAAAATGCTAATTTCAATAATTATTTTGTCAAAGTTAGAATAGTTATAGGTATCTCACGATCTTCTTAAAATCTACAATTATGGTTGAACTTCAAATGTAATTTGTATTTCTGGACGATAGAAGAAAAGTATTAAACAGATTTAAGTCACTTCAAACAAGCACCTCGTCGACAAACAACAAAACAATAAATTCTTGAATTTATTTTAACAGTAACTTTCATAAGCTACGCCTTTTAGCTAAAAGAAATTGTACTTAAATTCATTATTTGGTAGCAGGTTTAAAACAACAGATTTAATTTCAGGCTCGAATGACTCACTGCTCTGTTATTCATTGAGTCCACTGGGCAATCTCTCTGTGACATCTTTATTGCGGGTAAATCAATTATTACTTGGCTTCGGCCTTCAATTGCGGCTGTGGCCAGTGGGCGGCCCTCAATAATGGCCGCCACAAGAGCCTTGGCCGAGAGCTTTCCCCTCGGTCCGCCCACACGCGCCCACTCTCAGATGCGGACACACAGCGCCACACACACAATCACTTTCCATTTTCAATTATGCCAACAAAAGCAAACAATTCCCCTTGTTCATGGCCACAAAAGAGGGTTGAATGAGTAGGTCTCCAGAGTGTTTCTTTCGGTAACTTTGGTCTCATTAAGAGTTCTTCTTCAACATTCTCCTGCTATTGTTTTTGTTTAACACGACTCCTACCAACTTCCATCCACTCCCATGTGTGGCAATTTCTTTTATGTTTCTGTTTTCGTTTTTGCATAATTTCTTCATTTCTCTCATTGTGCTTTGATTTGTGTGAAAATCACGCTGAAACTTTGCTATATCGTTTGATCTTTGGCATTGGGATATTCAACACAGTTAGAAGTTGTTTTGTTGACTATTTCGTTTGCCCTCAACTCTTGGAAGTACTACACACATACATACATATATATTTGCTTTTTTCTACTTAACTTATTGGGAAATAACTTTTGTCACACAAACACGTTCTGCTTCTCTGTCTGTGTTTCCCTATAATTTTGCCTTCTAATGATTTTTCTTCTTCTGGGTTTTAAGATCGTACGAGTTTCCCAGAAATATGACTTCTTTATTGCCAAGGAAAAAAGTTTGGTCCATGAAGGCACAAGAATAATTTTTAATGGTTAAAAAAGTTTTACAATCGGATTTTATTAAACGACAAATGCTTCGTGGAAAATTGTTGAAAAGAAAAGTTATACGGTTTGGAAAATTAAAAGATTTGTCAAAAGAAAGAGGAGAGCAGAATTCAATTGACACTTTCAAGTTGTTGGAAATTGTTAACCATCGTGGTATAAATTCTTGCATTATAAGCAATTTATTTGTTCGTCGTGATCAGTAATTGAGCGTGATAAGAGATTCAATTTGTATTTATTTTGTTTACATGGCAAATTAAATTGTTTGACTATTGCCTTATAGGTTTGCTGTTTAATGAATGTTTAATTAAATACCCTAAGCGGAAGTGTTTATTTCACTCCGATGAACTTAAACTTCTAGAGCTTAGTTCCGTACGTTTTGA